GTAACTCACGTTAGGTTGGGCTTTGGATATTCAACTGTCTTTGAGTCATTTCTGCTCCTGTAAGTAACACCTCACCATATTCCTATGAGTAATCCCCATAAAACTTATTGATTCACCAAAAAAGAATTACTTTAAAATGCATAGAGAATACAGCATCTAGAAACTTGTTAAACATTTATTCATTTTGTGCCCTTTGTACTAAGACTACAAAAACAGAATGATTTGAAAGAGAATATCCTCCTTCAACATCCCTGCAATCTATGAAGGAATTAGCTTGAGTTGCAACATTCAGTCTGCAACTAGAATGCCACAGTATCACTACAGTTATACAGTTTGCTGGCACTCAGCCTTGGAGCAGAAATGTATTGATAGATATATAGACCAGCTGATGGTCTTCTGTGCTTAAAACCTAACTTATTTGCAAATAACACTTCATTAAGCTATGTACATATGTTGATCAAAACTTTAAGCAATTGTGACAGATAATAACACAAACAAAACACTGATCATTCTTGAAACAATGATTATGGTAAGTAGATGATCTTTACAAGCTATGTAAAGGGCTTACATGACAAAATAAACTATCTTCATTTAAAAACCAAAGTTTCAGAAATATAAGAGCTTAAAACATTACGGTTTAGATATGATACGTCCCTCAAAGGCCCATTTGTTGGGTTTGGTTTCTAGTACAACAAGTACAATGGTTGTATGTCTGGATGAGATTAGGTAGAGTGGACTCTGATCTCATCAACAGGCTCATTCTTTTACAGTTCCCTATTTTAATTAGCTACTGGAAAACTGGAAACTGAGCAGGTGGGCTTTAATTCAAAGGGGTGGGTCCTGGGCCTAACTTGTTTCCAGGTTCTTCCTCCCAGTCTTTCTTCCTGGCTGGCAGAGGCTCTGTCTCATAGGTCCCCATGAAGTGAACAATTTACACTCCTCTTCCACCAATATGCTCTGTTCCATCCTAGGCTCACAAACAACAGAGCTGGACAACCATGTAATGAAGCCAGAAGGCAAAACATGCTTTTCTTCCTATAATTTGATCCACCTCAGGTATTTTGTACCAGCAACAGAAAGCTAACACAATCTACTACATAGGTAGGCAGGTGGGCTTCATGATTTTAATAGAACATATTACTTCTAAGACATTGAATTACTGAATCTCAGGGTATTGATGATGATGTATTCTTCTTGTCTCTTTCCAAGCATGGGGTATTATACACCAGTGGTTAACTAAGATTAATTTGGGAAGGTAAATGTGTCTCCATCTCAGCAAGTTAACAACTGAACAATAGAATGTTCCAAGCAAAATTTCTTTTGCAATATTTTGTCTTAATTGACAGAAATGGTATATCTAGTTGCTTGGACTAACACTCTGTAGTCATCTTGATGAATCTCCTTTTCAAGCATCTGATATAGTATCTGTTAGTAAGAAGCATAGACTCTCTCTTCAAACACCTCTCAAACCATCTGTTACCACTGCACTCTGACCTTAGTGAGATCAGGAGTGTTTTCTGTATCAATGCTTGTTACCTATTATCCACCAATACCCTCTTCACAGCAGCTAGAGTGCTTTTCATACTGAATTCATATACACCCAGCTCAAACTTCTATACTAGATCTCCATCTCACTCAGAGAAAAACCCACAGATCCTGACAGGTCTGTCTTGCAAGTGTTCTGCCCAGCCCTACTGCTCATTTCTTAGTCAACCTCAACTCTCCATTGTCCCTTAAAATAACCTGCCACCTTCTTGTCCTGATGTATTTTGCCTAGCTCCTAAAACCTTCTGCTTCTGTAGCTGAGATTCTCAAAATATGGTTCCTGAGCCAGCAGTACTAATATCACCCGGGAACTTGGCAGAATGGCAAATCTTCATGTCTTCTTGCAGTCAGTGACTCTAGCCACAGTCTAGCATGTAGTATTTGAAAAGTCCTATAGGTGTTGCTGTTACACACTAAAGTTGGGAGTCACTGCCTTGCATTGTTTGCATGGGCAATATCCTCACTCCTTCGAAGTGTTTACTTAGATGTCACCTCCCAAATGAGCCCTACTGCTCTTGTTTATATTGCATTCTATTTATTTCCTGCCTCCCTACCTTCTTTATATGCTTTTGCCTTATCTGTATAATCTTCTAGAATACTGAAGGTTTCTTTTTCAGTGAAGGGGGTCTTGCTAATTTTCATTCAATGATAATGTGTAAGTGTCTCAATATGACACAATGTATTTAATAACCACCTAGAGAACATAGTGAATGAATAAATTGAGTTTAATTGGTATCCCCCAGCTGGAAGTCCTCTGAATCCTGAGTGTCCTAGGTCTGAGTACACTAATCTAAAGATTTATTTTTATTTTTATTTATGTGTATATGTCTGTATAACACATATTTGACACATGTGTGTGTATGTGTGTATAGATACGTGTGTGTGTGTGTGTGTGTGTGTGTGTGTGTGTGTGTGAGAGAGAGAGAGAGAGAGAGAGAGAGAGAGAGATGGGGAGATATGGAGAGATATGGAGAGATGTGTGTGGGAGTCACAGGAGGCCAGAAAATGTAAGATCCCTTGGAACTACAGTTACAGGCGGTTGTGAGCTAACTGACACTTATGCTGGAGACTAAGCTCGTGTTCTTTGGGTGATCAACAAGCTGAGCCACATCCCTAGCCCCCCTGAATACAATATCAAGAAATATCAGCACATGTCATTTTGAGGGGCTCTAAGTCAAATGTGTACATTTCTGATTTTAGATATCTTTACAGAACAGAAGAACCAGCCAGGTTACTGCCCATCTTTATCTCTATTTTATTAGGAAGAGAGAGGGGAGAGGGATTTGGGGTTGCTGCCCTGTTCTTTCAACTGTGTAGTGTAAGAATCTAATGGGTGTGGGCAAGCACACAGGCAAGGGTGGGAAACTGACGCTCTTGACACTTGTGCCCCCTTCCACAGCAGTGGTTACAGCTCCGTGGCAGAACTCGGAGCTGTGGCTGCTGCTTTGGTGGTTCCTAGATCTTCTCTGAGTTTGCTGTAAATGAAAGTGGAAGTCACCCATGGCATTTGTATTTATGAATTTGATTTAAAAAAAAAAACTCCTTCACTTAAAAAATTCAAAGTAACTTAGAAAAGGGGGAAAGGCATTGAAGCAAACAATGACTTCTTAAAGCCCTGCATAATAACATCCCATCCCATCACTAGATAACATCGTTGAATGCTCACTATAGTATAGTGATGGGAATGTCATTCTGCATGCTGCACATGTGTGTTGCTCTGATTTGACTGACAAATAAAACGCTGATAGGCCAGTAGCCAGGCAGGAAGTATAGTATAGGTGGGATAAGCAGAGAGGAGAATTCTGAGAACAGGAAGGCGGAGTCAGGAGTCACCAGCCAGACACAGAGGAAGCAAGACATGAAAGCAGAACTGAGAAAAGGTACCAAGCCACGTGGCTAAACATAAATAAGAATTATGGGTTAATTCAAGTGTAAGAGCTAGTCAATAGTTAGCCTGAGCTAATGGCTGAGCAGTTTTAATTAATATAAGCCTCTGTGTGTTTACTTGGTTCCAAGCGGCCACAGGGCCCTGGGAACTGGGCAGGACCAGGAAAACTTCAGCTACAGTATAGGACTTGGGATGCAGTTAAGTGCAGGAGAGTCTGCCTAGCAAACTGTCATTGCTCTCTAGCCTTGCAATAATAATGATGATGATGATGATAAATAATAGAACGTTCATGATAGGCCCTAAAGTCAACAGTGCACCCTATTATCATGAAAGCCATGGTGATTCTGTGAGGATACATAGAACAGAGCATGGAAACCTTTGATAAAGTGTAATTCTACTACAAATATGCTCAGAAGATGTGCAATTTGGACAATCCCTAATTCATAGGAACATTGCCAGAGAACAGGACAAAATAAACCAGCTCAATTTGCTGCTATTTTTACAACTTAAACACAACCTGTTTCCTTGAGAACATCTAATGCTTGTCTTCTTTTTGCCCTGAAAATGGCCTCAGTCATTCTCTCTCATAATTGACTAATAGAAGTTAAAACACATCTGTGAAGGAAGAAAAGAACAGAACCTTCCAAATCCCCACCACAAAACTGATGGCTACATTAATATCCTTCTCTGCATTTGGCTCTGAATAGCTTCATTCTAACACTATAAACCCTGTGAAGGGATGTGGGGAAACAGCTTGGGGATTAGGGCTCTCCACACAGCACAGTGTACCAGTCTTGATGCCTGTTTGCCTTTTCTCAGAATAAGCATCTGAGGGAAAATTAAGTTCTAAGCTGGGGCTACTATTTCAAATCCCAGAAAGGGCTCCTAGGAACAGTTTGGCTTTCTTGTGACAATAGATTTCCTGATGAAGTACACGGTTCCCTAATGAAAAAAACCTGGCACAGCTTCATATTCTAAAATTTAACCAATGTGAGGCTCATGATGCTCGGTTTGGGAATGAGCATTTTAATAAAAGAAACATGAAATTCACTGTGCTTTGGCAGGATAGCTCCCAGAACGCCATGAGAGCTGTCATCCTGGTCCACAGATGAGCTCCACCATGTCACAACTGTACCATCTCCCACCGACACCTCAACAAAGCTGGAGCAGAAACAAAAAATCCAAATGCATTTGTGCTGGCTTCTGCCTAGCTGGGGGGTCATGGAAAACGGAGTAACATCCCTGCTACCCCAGCGCCCCAAACACGCTATAGAAAAGAGCTGCGGCTCAGCAGAATGACTCAGGTCTATTTCCAAGCAAGTGAGTGAAGGAGGACCGGGAAACAGCAACTGTAGGACCGGGAAGGCAAGTCTCCAGATGCAAGGCAAATGTGATCAGACCAAGTCAAAGATACCTCAGGAAGTGGACTTTACAGCCCCTGGGTTGATGCTGCCTGATGTTTTAACAGGGACAGGAAGCTAACAGTCCACAAACACACATTATACAGTAAGTTGCAGCTGCATGGACAACGTGGATGCTATATTTCATAATAAGTAGTTTTCCTTACCCGCATGAATGCCTGGTGTGTCCTACATTTCTCTCCACTGCTGTACACTCGTATGGTCCCTGTGATTGTGTCAGAAGTGCCATTGGAGAAGAAGTAAAATCTCGATGGAGACTCTGCCTTTCTGTGCACATCCAAGCTCACGTTGTAAAACAAAGCTGCGAAAGCAGAGAAAGAACCGTGATCAGCATACTGGCTCAGGACACTGAGATGTTAACAGTCATGTGTCATACTGAAAACACCTCAAGTTCTCTCATTAGATTATTTTTAAACAGTTAAACTGAAGTATAAAAGCGAAATAAAATGTACTTTCAAAACTGTTTTTAATAAAATAAAAAAATGATTTAGTAACTTCAAGGTTTCATTATTAGCATCTTTAGTTATTTGCTTAAGTCTTCCACATGTAAGGATGTGAAAACCACACTATCAAAATCACTACTAAGGATACAAGTCTTCGGAATCACTTTTGTCTACACAGCACCTGGTGACGGAAGTGTAGACAGAGCTCTGAGCTCCAACGTTGCTCAGGATGAATCTATTTTGTGTGATTCAAGGCTAACTTCAAATACAGTAAGATTTACTTATGTCTGTTTCATATTAGAAGGCTTGATATTTTTAATTTTCTTATATAAAATGGAAATACAGGTCATAAGCCACACCACTATAAAATGGTTTACTAAAAAAAAAAAAACAAAAAAAACAAAAACCCTTCCTTTCAGTTGAGTCGAATCACAATTATTCATCCTCTGACCTTACTACTCATACTTTGACACAAACTTTCAACTATTCTAGTGGTTTGAAGGGTTGATTTCAAATCTGACATAGTAAATATTTAGCTGAAAAAGAAGATCCTCAGGTCAGAAGAAAAAAAAATGGGGGATTAAAAAAAGTCATAAAATCATCCAGGCAGATTATAGCAAGGAAGTAAGCCTCATTTCCTGAATCTAAGTGGGCTCTTTACAAAGTGAGTGAAGCCCAGCACTCCACTGAGTTGCCCTCACTGCACAGGAGTAGTGATGTGTAAGTGAAATATTAAAGGATTTATATATTGCCTGCATCATTCATTTATATTTTAAGAGCAACTTACATTTCTGAGGTATTTTATCCACTCATTTCAAAGCAACATAAGCATAAAACCTGCCTTGCTCTTACACTTATTTTCAAATAAATCTTTCAACTGTCATTGAACTTAGAAAATAAAGTCCAAATCAACTGACTTCAAATTTTCAATAACTATAATTTAATAACCCAGAGGGCTGCAGTTGAAGTAGCCATCTATAGATTCATCACTTGAGTCCAAAGCAAAGGTAAAGGAAAAGAGGAAAATAAAAGCCTATTCCATCAAGAGGCAGAACACATTGGCTTCAAACAACCCTCCTGTGTGGATTATTCTTAACAAGGAATCATTTGATGACAATTATAAAGCATGTTTTAGAAGAACACTGTTACTATTTATGAGTTCCATATATTTGTTATCAGATATTAAGAGAAATATCCAGTGCAATTAGGTTGGAAGAACAAGGAACGAGCCGTATCCATTCATGTGTATCTTTCAGATAATTCATCTGAAATCCATCTTGTCTATGCTGATGTGTAATTCACTCTGGGTCACACTCCCCAGGTGCCAATAACCAGATGAGGGTTTACACATCTTCTTATTACTCCTGCTCTGGCCAGGGCTTTTCAAGAGCATTATTAAAAATGAGTCTCATAAAGTACAGATGCTGGTTCATTCTGCCTATTACATAACGGACTTGTTCAGACTGGAACCTCTATTATACATACAAAGTTTGGCTCAATAAGTATTTGATGGCCTCTGTGATCTTCGTATAAAAGCAGCCTATAAGGTTATTGCACAATCAATTTCACAAATTACTAATATCCAAATTATGATAATTCCAGGTATATGTATAACTTATGGTGGGCCACATTTATTAGTAGCTATTCTAATATTATCTCTGTGTGTGTGTGTTAAATAGTTTCTATTAACTACTCTCTTGGATGATCCATATCAATGCTATATTCTATATGGCAGACAGGAGTTCCCTGTATATAAAAAATGGGCACAGTTCTCAGAGCTGATGATGGCTGCACATTATATGTATATGTATATACATATATATATATATATATATATATATATATATATATATATATTCTCCAGGTAAGCTTCTTTATCCAAATATGGGAGCATATATTTTAAGAAAGATAACCTTGTGCCTCTTATTCCTTCCTACCTACATTAGCTCCAAGTTTTATGAGCTCAGTATGGCTGAAAATGTAATTCAGTAGTGTGGCACCTGCCCAGAATCCCCAAGGCCCTCAGTTCCGTCTCCATTACTGCTAGAAAAGTAGTAATAGTGATAAAAATGGTGCTCTGTCAAACTGAGGAGCTGTGGTACGGTCTTTTGATTCTGAGTATTTCCTAGCTTAAGCGGAGAGGGTTCAGATTTAACTAATGCTGATGGTCCCAGCACTGCCTTTTGACATAAGTGCTAAGCCTTCTCTGTGCCCCGTCTACTAGAAGAACTGGAGAACAAAAAAAGACAGACAAAAGGTGCAAATCAAAAAATTATGCTATTCTTCTCTAAAGAAGTGTCAGATCTCATGGCACACACAATGGGGGCCCACAGTTGACTTCCAGGTAAGAGAGCAAGAATCCACTCCAGTGAGGTGTGAGCTCGGTGGGGCACACTTACTGATGTAGCCTGGGACCTCTTTGCCCTTATATGAGAAACAGAGTGTTAGATCCATGCACACAGAGGGAAGTCCATTCTCAGTGCAGTCCAACTTCGTTCTATTTACTGACTCAGGATGGCTTAAAGATGCTTCAACAATCACTACAGGCCTTGTCCTAAGAAAGCAATAAAATTACTCATATTAGTTACAGAATTGTTTTACTTTAAGACAATAATTACATTCCCAACAACCAAGTAATGACATTAAAATGCTTACACAGTGGTATGTGGATACATGCTTGATTATATTTTATGTACAGATCAAGAGTTTTCATTTAAATATAGGAAACCATCAACTTTATCTGATGATCTGTTTGATTATTTCTAGGCAAGGCAAGGAAAATACCCCAAAGTTTAATAATAAACCTTGAGAATACCTAAAGGGGCATCAGCAGGACCACTACTTTTGAAACCTGCCCCCCCCCATTGACAACAATTAGGCCCTGTTGTCAGTAAACGGTGGACGCACATCCCCCTCACCTTAGCAACACTGCAGAATCAGACCGAAAAGCACCAACTGCTACATCTGGAGGGGAAAAAAAAAGCATAGATTAATGATCACCATTAGTTAAATAGAATTACCTTGCAGCCACTAATACTTAACTGTGTATCACCTTTTGACTGTATCAAAACACCATTTACAGAAAATTAACTAGAAAAGACAAGCTAGCATCCTCAGATCCATTTCCCCAAATGTCTGAATCTATTCACTCAGAAATAGTAGCGATCCTTTCACAAGAAAGCAAAGAAAATGCATGCTAGAGACTTGTGACATTCCTGCCAAAAGAAATGTAATGCTTTGAGTTAGAAACATTCATCTAGAAGGCTGCTTTCACATCTTTTAAAACAGATTTCTCGTTTCTTTTCATCACATCACACTTTGATTTCTTAGGTTCTTCCTTCTTTCTCAAGAACAAGGGCTCTAACATTAAGTCATGCACAGTGTAAAACTGATGAATTACTTGATCATTTCAGACCCAGCTTCAAACCTTAAAAATTTAGAAACATAATTACAAGTGACCTGAAGTCCTACACATCGGTTTTCCATGTTCACAATAAAACAACACCCACAAAGGTGCTTTCTTTGGTCCAGAAATTGGACACATTCTCTACTCACCAACATATCCATTGTTATCTGCATCAATTTGTCCTGAGATAGATTGTCCAAACATCCTTAGTGATTCACTGATTTGAAGTCCTTCAATTCGCTAAGAAAAAAAGATGGGGGGGGGAATTTTGAGAGGAAATAGTTATTGAATGTCTAATATTTCCAAGATGTTAGCTTAGTTAAATAATGGATCTTCTGAGGCTTGCCCTAGCACAGTAACTCACAAAATGCATTCTAGATAAACCAAACCCTTTAAGAGAGGCAAAATTTTCTACATTGAAATACAGCTGAAATCTATTTTGTTATTAAAAATTTATGTTGTGAAAAAGGCAACATTTTACAGTATATTTCTTAGTATTTCCAAAATAATTCTTACTATGTCTTTGAATTTTTTCAAGTTTTGCCTCTGCTTCCTTAATCAGCATGAAAAAATAAACAAATTATTTGGGAAATAAGGTGTCTGTTATTATTTACCAGTTCCTACGATTCAGATTTATGATGAGAGCCTTCTGGTTTAGACAGATTGCTTCTTAGCATTTAAGAACATCCCCTATTATCAGTCTCTTCTATCTATTTCATTTCATGTCCAGACACTGAATTAAAGATACATGGTTGTTGTTCACTGTGAGAAAAACTCAGTATCTTTTACTTGACATGTATCTAACTTCCCTATGAAATTTAGAGAGCCATTTACCCACCTAGCTAGTGAATCTTTGGAAAGACTTTTCTTCTCAGAATTTGAATGTAGGCCTTTTTATGTACTGAAATGCTCTGAGTTTTCAAGATACAGAAGTGAAATGAGAGTTTTGTCATAAAATTGTATTGAGATGTTATCAATTTAACTACTGTACACTGAAAGAAACATGGTCTAGCTCTGTGAGGCATGAAGCTTTAACTGCAGGAAAGTACAGCTCTGTTCAAATAGGCATACTTGGAAAAGCATGGCCACTGCCTTAAGAAAACATAAGATGTCTCACTCACACAGACATGAGTAAGTAATAAGCTAAAGACAAGAATCAAAATGGACTAGAACTCTGTGGAAATAAATGGTTTAGAGAGAGTCATCTTGAGAGTCACTTAAAATAGGATCATTTACCAATATTATATGGCGAAATAAAATGTTAAGTACTTGAAAGAGAAAAGCAGTCCACATTACCAGTCAAATGACAAGGGTACATTAATCACCACTGCCTCTTTGGAAGACCGAATACTGTCTTACCTGTGAGTAGGTGGATGAGATCCCATCTGCTCGGCCATTGTAAATGTAGATAGCACCTCGCAAATCATCTTCCTGTGGTGCACCAATAGCAACATCTGTTGGATTTAAACAGTACAAAAATTAGAAATTCTTGATACCAAGAATAAACTTTGAAAACTAGTCTTCATGATCCTAAAGGCGTATGGCATAATATAAAAACTCCCTCTTACAAAGAAATTCAACCACTCTTCTAGAAAAAAATAAAACACTTACATCACAATGTTCAAGATTATGCATAACAGCCTGTGCATGGAAAATAAGAGTGTGGATGGTGGTGAAGGGCACTTTTTCAGAATGATTAGCTTGCAGGGGCTCCAGACATACCTCTGGATGCCCACCACAGCTCTGCTGTACCCTGTTATTCTATGAACCACCAGTGTTTAATATGTGTCTTGGTTTCTTCACTCACAGAATGAGAACACAACAAGATGCATTCTTAGTATGACAGGATAAAAACATTGGCTGCATAGAACAGCATCTGACATGTTATAATATGATATTGTACAACCTTAGTTTTGAGCTTCTAGACTTTTCTATTCCTTTAAAATGATTTCTGGATCAATTCTTCTTCCAGTGATACATATTAGTGATACACACACATGATAAATAGGATTTCAGAAAATATCTTGTTTTGAAAAATAATGACAGAATGAATTTATTGTGATTCATATTGGATTATGACACTGGGAAAAGAAATTAATAATAGCTGCAAGATCACTTCATTGTTAAGCCACATGACTCTATGTAGGTATGTTAATATATCCATTAATGTGCAATGCTTTTAATTATTTTGACTGAAATCTAAAGAACAGAAAGTTTATTCTTATGACATCACTTACTATTGTCTGGAAATTTTTTTTTCACAATCACAGTGGTAATTCTGACTGCTTTTAAATACAAACTGTATTTTAATTATCAATGATAATATCAAGAAGACACAATTCTAAACCAAGAAAATAAATATTAAGAACTTAGTTGCTAAATTATAGGAAATTGCTGCACTCTGGGAGATTGTACAGTCTCCTCTCAAACATATTCATCATATGTGTACAGTTTTGTCAGGTCAATTAACTCTCAGTAATAAACTGAGAGTGGCTCTTCATTGAGGTAGGTATTTCTATAGCAAGGCTGATGTCCAGGCAGCGTACATGGTTAAGATAGAGCCATTTATTTAATCATGGAAATGCTTCCGTATCAGTAGCCACTGCCTTGGTTCTCACACCTGACCCTCAGCATTGCTATCTGGGACTCTCTCTGGGACTCTTCCAAATCCTATAGCAAAGCAGCATCCAGACAGGGTGTTCCTGGCATAACAGGGGTCACCAAAATGTGCTCCAGATTTGGAACCAGACTAAGTTGGGTTTGGTCAGGTTCTGGATTGTACTGGTAGTTAAATGTCATTGTCCAATGATATATACCCTTTGTATTTTCTTTCCAAAATCAGTATCCTTTTTAAAATAGAAAAGTGATGGATATCACAGTTTGATAGGCATCATTTTTAGAGATGTGTAAAGAATTATGCTACTTATAAATAATGGTATCTTTAGAATCAATAAAATGTTTTGACTATCACTCTCTAATTAACCATGGTAAAGATCAATAACTGACAATTATAACTGACATAACACTATAAAAAACTAGACAGCAGACCATTCTGGCCCCATTTTCAATAGAAAGGCAAAGAGCACAACACTACAAGCATGGTCTCTTCTTTGAACTATTTTAAATGTGGAAATCAAATGCAAAATTTGAGTTTTTTTTTTTTTGTTTTTTTTTTTTTTTGGTTTTTCGAGACAGGGTTTCTCTGTTAGCTTTGCGCCTTTCCTGGAACTCACTTTGGAGACCAGGCTGGCCTCGAACTCACAGAGATCCGCCTGCCTCTGCCTCCCGAGTGCTGGGATTAAAGGCGTGCGCCACCACCGCCCGGCAAGTTTTAATTACCTTCAAAGCCATCATTATCAATGTCACCAAGACTTGCTATGGATTCCCCAAATCTTGCGGCATATTTGTCACCTCCGATGAGTGCTGATTCCATTTCATCCATTACAGCTCCCTGGGTAGAAATGGGAAGAGAGGTGTCATTACAAAACTCCCTGACAACTTTACACATGATTTACTGCTATAATTGGATATGGATTTTTTTCTAATGCGTCAAACCACAGATTGAGCTTTAGTACACACATCTCAGTTCAATTCGATAAATATTTATTAAGTCAACACATATAATAGCATGATTAGAGCTCAGAGGACATAGGAAATTGTCTAACTCATGATCCCTAGCTTTCAAAATCCAATAAATCATTTTGATAATTCAATTTAACAAATATTTATTGAGCTCTTGCTAAAGACAATGCACTGTGCAGAGCAAGCAGGTGAAGGGGGTCAAGGAGGAGTATATCTAAAACACTGTTTCCTCCAGGAACCATGGCTACAAGGAGGGCTTAAACATAAGCATGTACATGATGTACATGTACAAATTGCTTCACACTGATGAGAAGATAGGAAAATAATTCTAAGTGAAGCAAGGGAGAAATTCCACTAGGGAGCAGGAAGGAGAGACGACCTGAGAGAGTCTTCACAAAGTGTCCATGCAAGATGGCTACCACAAGGAAGGTGTAGTTCTGATATGCAGGAAAAGTGATTGGCAAAACACATTACATGTATGAGAGGTATATATAGAATGAACAAGTCAACAAAAGACAAATTGCTATATCCACAGTATATAGCAATTTGAATAAAAAGGAAATTTACTCTTTCTGAAGTGAACAATAGGAAGCCATGGGAGGTCTCTGAGAGTAAAGAGTGACATTGTTTAAGCTGGCCTTTGGAATCTCTGAAGTTGAAGGTGAGTTGTTACATATATGTGTAATATATATAAGATAAGCTAATGATGCTGTGATAATGAGCTCTGATCATTTCAACCTCATGTTTTAAAAACAAATCCCACATGCTACTTATATATCTCATCTTCTTCTAAATTCATGTGTTTTTCTCTCTCAAATACTACTTCTTTCTTAAAATATTTTTGGCCCAAAGTAAATCATGCCTACTTTTCATGTACTTATCACTTGCCATTTACCATGTTGTACTCCAATGCCTCCCCCCATGACTGGCATCTCACCCAATCCTGAAGTTGGCGGGGAAAGGTCACAACTGGGATTATTTTCAGCGTTTTTCATACTTTGTTCCATTCTAGACTCTCACAAAGGGCCACATTTTTCTAAATGAATTAAAAAATTTGAATTTATCTCTATAGATACAATCACTTGCATCCCTATGGCACAGGATTAAATCTGAAGACTGAGGGATGAAATGGAGTAGCTCCTCAGGAGAGGACTAAAAGGAAAGGAGGCAGGGCTTCAGAGAAGACAACTGATGTATAACCTCAAGACAATGCTGTTTTAGAAGAGTTCAAGAGAAGTGAGTGGTGATTGCTCTTGTTCAAGTATTCTACAGTCATTGAGAATGGCAAGCGAGTACTCACTGGGGATCCCTGAGAGCTATTTAGTAGATTAGGTCAAGACCCAAGTCATTTAAGTGATCTTCTTTCTTTCAGTTCATTGAAAATAATTCTGGAGTGCCTGCCTGTCTAGGACTTTTATGAGCCATGAAAAAAATAAAAGCAAGGGTAAACAAAACAGATGATTCCTCTCCCTTGCAAGCACAGGCAAGAACAGGTAAAGAAAATATTATGCTTCTTAGTGTCTAGTGCCATTTCAGAGAGTTTAGAAATAGGTTAAATGTGAAGAAAGGAAGAAAAATCCACACTAGAAGATTTAACAATCGAAACTGATTACTAAAGTGATCCCAGTATCCAGCTGCAGTGCTTCTGGGTAAGTCAGAGGCAAGGGAAGAAGGTAGCCTAGTGGGCAGGCTCTTCCTTTGTTCTCTGAGCATTTCTTTCATCTGTTTTCGTAATTGGATGATCTAAGATTGCAGTGGGGGGAATGTTCCTTTACTTTCCAGGTGGTTTTTACTGTTAAACTATTTTTTTTAACTTCCTTGTTAAGAGAAACTTATCAGATATTTGTTACAAGGGACAAGTGAGAGACACTTGCTGAATAAGGATCTATTAAATACAAGGAAGCCTGTCTGTGAATGGATAAGTGTGGAACATGTGGTACAACACTGTTTTCTGAGAGATCACTGTCCAGATGATAATATGCCTTTTCTATAATAAATTTTAGTTTAGGAAATCTCTGCATATGTAACTCCTCTAGTCTAGACTTAGAATGTGGGGATGCTTCCATCCTCATAAGACTGGAAGCCTTCTCTTTTGCATTGTATAGAGTTTAGTTTGATGTTTGAAATGAGAACTTACCAAACTCTCTGAAATTTTTGAGTCAGCAAAGTTACAAGCACACTTTGCTAAATCTCAACTAAAAGATGCTGTGTCCCAAGACATGATCAGCCTGATCTTCTTTTCAAACCAAAGGAGCAAAGAAGGTGCCACTAAGTATCTGGTCTTTGCTTGATTTAATGTCAAGAAGCAGAGCTGTTCAGAGAAGGCCAGAGCTCTAGAGATTGAATCAAGGCACCTATTTCCACTACAAATGCTGCTCATGACTTGAAGCTGAACAATAGTCAGTAATTATCTAATTGAACAATGTATGCACTTCAGAATAAATGATGCCAATCTCATACCATTTTCAGGATATAATCCAAATGAACTGTGCAATAATATTTTATCAGTGGATCTTATTTCTGGTTGCAAGTCAAGAAATTAAAAACATTGAATGCTACATCTATTCCTAATAACAAACGTTTTATAATTTGCTAAAATATATAAGGACCATAATTAATTGAGGTATATAAAAATCTATTTTAAAGTATCTACACAAACGATTTTTCTAAATTATATTTGTACCAAAATTAAACTAAAGGAAATTTCAGTTACTAGAGTGGATCCATACAAGTGGTGTGCAAAAATTCCATCGCACTCTGAGTTTCATATTTCTGGAATAGCTGCTCACTGTCATGCTCTGTTTAATTCTCAGTGCATGAGTACAGCAGTAGAAGTTTCTCTTTGGTCCACCAGATAAGCTCAAGACTCTATATTTGACCTGGCAAGATTGCTAAGTTCATAAAAGTGCCTCCTGTACAAGTCTCTTGACCTGAGCTGGATCCCAGAAACATGAGAGGACGACTGCCTTTGACCTTCACACGTGCACTGTGGTGTGGATAGCATGTATGTACATGCATCATGCACTCACACACCACACATACACACACACACACATACAAAAATAATCCATAGTCTCAGAACTCTGAAATAAGAGCAGTTTCAGCCTGAATTATAATTTATAAATGACTTCCAGCTTGGGGCCTCTCAGACATACCAGGCCAGAGTTGATGTACACGAATACTCTCCCTTCCTCTCTGATGGTGCTCTGCATGGGAGCCCCCACAAGGAGATCGGAGAAGCCATCTGCATTGAGGTCCACCGCACAGATAGAAGCTCCAAAGTACGAGCCAAGCTGTTCCAAAGTAAAGCACATGCGCAATGAGAGCATACAGCGTTATCCACAGAAGCCCTCAGTGACCCCAAAGGCAGAGACATACCTACCTTTTTACCTTTCATTTCATGTACGATGGTCAGTTCCCTTTCATCGATGCTGAATATATATGCCTGCAATTGGGGAAATAATTAAAAAAACATTTACTTTCTTACCATTTAAAAAATACTTAATTTGTTTAATTGAAACATCAATTTGTATAATACATAACTGGACAGATATAAAATATTAAATGTTTAATAAAATTGTTACTGCTATAAATTTGAAGAATGATATGAAAAGATTCACATTAATAAACCTGGTTTGCAACACTATCCTCTGAGGAACCAACTTTTGGATCCTACAAAGAAGGCACAGAAAAAGGTTTACTAAAAAATGGAGTGCCCAATGTTCATATAGCAATGCAGAAAAATATAGAACTAGAATTATTCTACTCTTTTTAGTCTTATTATGCAGCGTTACCTGTCTCAACTGCCTTTTTTAAAAAAGATTGATTGATTGATTGATTATGTATACAGTGTTCTGTCTGTACATATCCCTGCAAGCCAGAAGAGGGCACCACATCTCATTACAGATGGTTATGAGCCACCATGTAGTTGCTGGGAATTGAACTCAGGACCTTTGGAAGAACAAGCATTGCTCTTAACCTCTGAGCCATCTCTCCAGCCCCTCAACTGCCTTTTGCTAAAAAAAAAAAAAAAAAAAAAAAAAAAAAAAAAAGCAGCATATGCATTCTTTGGGCATGTATAGATAATTAAACTTTATAAGCAATTTACTCATAGCAAAGTCCCATTTAAGTTATACAATTCCCTTTAAAGGTTTCCAACTCAATTTCTTTGAGAGCTATGAATATATTTTACATAAATTCAATTCATGCAATTTCATCATTTTAATCTTATAATCATTAAAATGTTTATAGTTTCCCTTTAATGCTTAACTCTCTTGTGTAATCCATTCAAAACTTTGTGAAGAAATAAAGAGGAAAAAGTCTTACTTTTCCTATCTGTTCATGTTGAGGGGCTCCTCCCACGATTTCAGTAGTATGTAGACTTCGAAAATGACCAGCCCCAACTGAGTAGCCTTCATAAAAGGAGAGAAATACATGAGACTCTTCATTCATAACAGGCATGTGCTTTTCTAACTCTTTGCACAGAGGAAAATAAAACTGAATGCAAGATGATTACTTTAGGTAGAGCCTCAAAAAAAAAACCGTATTTTTAACAGTCATTTAAAGCAAGTTTAACATATATATTATAAGAACAATTATGTAGGTTTGCATTTCCAAGGTCTCAACATTGAAAATATGACCTTGACACCCCGTCTGTTATTCCCTGTGCAATATGATGAGCAACCGGCTTCTCGTATTACAGCTGCAACATCCGACAGTACCCAAAACTGTCGATGATGAAAGCTTGCAAATGACAATCGTTACAGATTTCATTTTTCTATTGTATGGACTTTACATAAAAATGCTTCAAGACATTCTTCAATCACAGATAAGGAGATGTCCTATGGGTTCTGCTGAAATGATAATAATGATACTACTTGTTTTATTAGTGCCCTTTCTGAGCACAAAAAATGTTCACATTTAAAGCACATAAGGGTTAAACAAACCTATGCTTTATAAGAAACTACAGAACACATGTATTTTATTGTAAAGGGAAACAATGCCATAAAATTTGTATTTTGTAGGAATATCGGTGGTAAAGTATGATACTCTTGACTTGTGAAATAACAATGATGAGGAGAAGGGAGAAAAGTACAATAAAAATGATTAAACTCTGAGGAACAATCCAAGATAACCTTTACAAACTAAAATAAATGTCTATAAGGAAAAGGTGGAAGAACAATTTTTAGAATATACTTCATAATGCTCTCCTTTATCTAGAATGCTATTTTAAGACCCATTGGTTTTCATTTGATAATCTAAGAATTTATGCATATGTATTCATAGACATGTGTTTAAGTGAATGAACATTTAGTTTAAAACCTTCCTAGGGACCCAGGAGTGGTGACACACATCTTTAATTCCAGCACTTAGGAGGCAAAGGCAGGTAAATCTCTGTGAGAGTTCCAGACCAACCAGGACTACATAGTAAGACTCTGCCTTAGAAAGAGGACATTCAACAGTTCCTATATGAAAAACATAGTGGTGATGACTGGAGTCACCTATGTTTAGTATAAGATAATGAGTTAATGAAAACATAATTGCTTTATGCTTAACTGAGACAGTTTCTGGTGTGTCTAATTGTTACTGGGCAATAGGATGTTTAGAGGAGCACATATCATTTCTAAGGCACAGATAATTTGAATTTCTCAAATTTTTACAGTACCTAAGTAACTTCCAAATTTTACTTGATTTTTTCTGTCTACAAACGCCTTATATATGTTCGTAGTTATATTGTAGACAAAGACAGAACCAGTCCAGTAAGATGATCCTGGAGCCCCCATCACAATTAAATCCTGTAAAAGAAAACCCATCATCATTTGAAAGTTAAATCTCACCACCCCAAACCTCTCAAAAAAATACAACATTCTAGGTAAATTGTCAGGAAATACGTTTTATATGAAGCTATTAAATGGAAACATTTAATTCATTTAAAGCAAGATGTTTAAAAACCAGAATTGCTAAAAGCAGAATTGTAGAGAAGAAATTCTGGAGCTCTCTCCACACTTATCAGTGGGTTTCAGAGACCAAAGGTAGGAAGGGCCATTGAACAATAGAGTAAGCTTTGGGGACAAAGGCAATGTGGGTCAGTGAAAGACAATCATCAGTGTGTAATTCATTAGGGTTCATTACCAGGATAATCGTGTGTACCAGAGACTTAACAGGGGCTTAATTTATTTCAATTTGCAAAAATCACTGAATAGTGTCCCTAACAATTTCAGCTCAGATAATAAAAAAGCTAGTGAAATTTAGGTCATATTTTATTGTAACTAGGAAGGAGAGAGGAAGAGAGCAGGCCCTTGTCTCTATTGTATAACAACTTATAGCAATCAACCCTAATTGAAGTATAATCTATTCTCTAAGTAATTCTGAACTTTCAATACAGTCACTTCCATGGACTAAAGAAGGAATTGCTATAGGCATTTGTAAATATGTTAACATGTATAGAAGCAGTTAATCCAAACAATACAGTCTTATCTCCATAAAGTAAGAAAACATTCATAAAATTGTAATGGGTTTTTGAGAGAACCCCAAACATTTATTATTTATTATTATTTAACCTGAGGTATGGATATAATTGTGACCTCACATATAATACTCTAGAGTTTTAGATAATAAGTGGTTGAGATTTTATCTGATTTTCAGGGGTATTATTAAGCTGTTAACCCTCACTACTATCGTAATTTTAATGAAAACTAGACTCATGCATTTCTTTCACCCTCGATTCATAGTTAAGAACAGTATACTGGGTAGCTACTTTCAGTTCTTAAGTTAACAAAATGAATAGCTAGCTACTTTAGGTGTCCATTAAATTCTTAATGGAGATGGTAATCTTTAGTGTGGATTTTAGTTGGTCTTACGTAGTATTAGTTATTTACAAATTAATTTTCTAAAATTATGTGTGGAAAATCAAATGGGATAAATAAGGTGATAATACTCTACAGCTTAAGAGACAATACTCAAATGTTACTCAGTTTTGACCCCCAAATCTACTATGAGTGTAGAGATCCCCTGGAATTAAGCTTCTATAAGTGCACAATACCTGGAGCTAATATTGGGCTGTTACCTGTGTGTAAAAACTAGATATTCCAGCTTGACATGATGCAAATTTTTCTCCAAATTTTCTCACAAAATCTAAAATAAAATACACAATCTTGGTTTAGACAAATTTGGAATATACATTTTTTTGAGACAGAGTTTGACTGGGCAACCCAGGCTGGCCTTGAACACAAGATCCTTCTCACCTGGTCCTCTAATTTTTCAGGATTAATTTTCTTTTCTTTTCTTTCTTTCTTTCTTTCTTTCTTTCTTTCTTTCTTTCTTTCTTTCTTTCTTTCTTTCTTTCTTTCTTTCTTTCTTTCTTTCTTTCTTCCTTC